GCCAAGATGGATCAGTCAACCGTGGGGACCTTAAGATGGGTGGACTACAACTCCCAGGATTCCCCAGCCAGCAACCTGGGAGTTGAAACCCACCTGTCTCAAAAGTCCACGCGGATGACACTGATCCATGACAGGAAAAAAAAAAAAATGAATGTGTGGGTGGTTTTGGGTGGGTGGGCAGGTGAGAGAGCGGGCCTTTTCCTTCACCCTACACCAGGGGTCTCCAAACCTTGGTTAGCTTTAAAGGCGGGGGGACTTCAACTCCCAGAATTCCCTCCTCCGGTCGCATCCGCTCAGGAACTCTGGGAGTTGAAGTCCACCAGGTTGGAGACCCTTAACTTCCATGTTCCTCTTCGGAACGTGCCCCCCGTACACACACGCCCCCCCCCCCCCCCCCCCCCCCCCCCGTCCCCCTTTCGCGGGTTTTGGCCCCCCCCCCGCCCCGGGGGGCGCAGGGGCTCCTCGGCAGAGGAATGGAAGGCGGGGGAGGGGGGGAGAGGGAGACTTTTGGGGAGGGACACAGGCCCATAAAAGTAAGCCCACCTACCCTCTTCTCCCTCCCCTCCAGGTCTCCTTTCTCGGCTGGGAAAGGAAGGTGTTGAGGACAATGGGAAGGAAAAGGAAAAGAAAAAAATACAAGGACCTAGGGAATAAATACAGTCTTCCAAAATATATAATTTGGTTTTGTTTTTTTAAAACGTTTTGTTTCTTAAACGCTCCGACCGCTGTTCCCCCGCCCCCCGCCCCCGCCACAGGTGAAGCACTCCAGGTGAGCGAGTGCAAGGAAAAGGCCACCTGGGGTCCTTTACCTGGCTCTTTGAGAAAAGGGACTCGCCTCCCCTCAACCCTGCCACAGAAGATTTTTCGGCGTGGCCGCCCGTCCCTTGGCTGCCCCACCCCTCCGCGCCTGGCCGCGGCACAGTCCTGCTCCGTGGTGAAGGCTGATGTTGGGAGAAACGATAAAAAAAAAAGGAAAATAAAAAAATAAGAAAACTCTGAAATCGCGGCCGCTGCCCGGTGAGTGGACCTCCAGGTGGTCTTGGGAGGGGCGGGGGAGGCGGTCAGCAGAGGCCGAAGGCGGCTTATAGCATCCCCAGCTGCAGCAGCGAGTTGGCGTAAACCATGGGCTTAATGTTTGGATGAGGCTGAGGGAGGAAGGAGGGAAGGAAGAAGGAATAGAGAAGGAAGGAAAGAGGAACAGAGAAGGAAGGAAGAATAGAGAAGGAAGGAGGAACAGTAAAGAAGGAAGAATAGAGAAGGAAGAATAAAGAAGGAAAAATGAAAGGAGGGAAGAATAGAGAAGGAAGGAAGAAGAAA